GGAACAGTGGTTCTGTCCACGTTAAATTGGCCGAGTCATGTGCAGTTGACAGCGGACAAGGTGCAAGCGTTTAAGCGCAGTGCTCCCGTTCGCGACCGCGACCACTTAATAGCATTAGTGTCATTGTCTCGGGATCATTAATAAGTCGCTGGACAGTTCTATTGGCCGGCACGCCATAACGGGCCTTACCGTGTACTGGCCTCGTGTCACGAATTTGTATCGTAATGGCCTTAGGGGGAGTTACGATCGCAGACTCCAATGTTCCTGGATATCTGGATAGTTACGCGCCTCGCCCCACCTACAGACAATGGTGTATGGTTTCGCTCTGCGTTTTATTAGCTATCGTGAATTTAATTTCATGTTCGATTTAATCGAAATCGACTAGGAAATATATATGGCTGTAACTTAGTATGTAAGTACAGTAGCCGCAGGTATAAATGGTTTTGCAATTATGGTTGTGCGACGACCGGACGCGGCTATTGTTACACTGTAAATGAGTTAGATCTTGTTGCAATTTATTTTATACAATTATTTCAGTAACGAACATGGGAAATCTTAAACACTTGAAAATTGAGAAGATTATTCGTTACATTTTGGGAATTCCCGCTTGCTTATTTTGCAACACGTGATTACTTGTCCATCAGTTCATATCACACATGTTTAGTTATCAGTGGGTGGATATCCACTCACTGATACCTTGGAAGTATCTCCATATCTCCTCAATATATGGTATGGTATATATGGAGGAGAGATCTCTCCAAGTACATTCATATACATATGGACAAGACATTTATTATTATCCTAAAATTAGCACACCTCTGACACAGATTCATTTCATCGTCACCGGCGACAATTGCTAAATCGCTGCCTCAATTTTAACGGACAGCTGTAAATCTATTTAACTGGTGTGGAGCGTTGCACGCGTCCGTACATCAATTAAGTCCAATTAGCCAAGCGACTCGGCACTACCTCTTTGATACACCGACGACGGATTAACAACCGACTTCTGAATTACTCCGATTTGTCGATAACATCCACTCGCTACTATTAACAAATCAAGTCTTGTTTATTTATAGCCGGCTAGATAAACCACTTTCCAGGAAGCGTTGATTATGAACAATTAATTACATATTTGTGCAAGCAACATTTGCAAGTTCTCGCGCTTGTTGTTATTACGCGTCGTGATAAACGCCGATGGTATATTTCTTAATTGCCCGTTGCATGATACGGGCACTATCGAAGCACTATTTCCAACATAATAAGCATTATCATTACAATAACAAGCTAGTAACTCGCGGCATTCGATGTGCTCATGACGGGAATACGATAACCCGACAGACCGTCTCACTCAGTTGGATTTTGTGTGCAAGAAGCTACACAATACTTGTGTCCCGCCCATTATTTAACATTCGATTTTTTATTCTAAAATAAACATTTGTAGTCAACTTTAGTGTTTCAAAGTTTGGTAATAGACATGTGTTTGTGATTGTGATTTTTATTGGATCTTGTGTTGAATTAGTTCGCTAGAACAATGTGAGTTGGTTTCCCTTACATTTAATTAAGCTATCGAAACGATAAGTCAACAATGACCCGGTTGCATCTCTTTCGTGCTAGATCAATGGACATTTCGAAATCCATTCGTGATTGATGGCGCGAGTAATTTACTTTTGAAATGTATAATTAGACTATTGTAAGTTGCCATTGTGTGTTCGATAGTAAGTTTACTAAAGTTAAATTGTAAGAGTTCGTGGTTGAATAAGGTTTTTTTTCACGTGTGGCTGAATGGGTCGTTCGTGGTACAGTCTCAATTTCCCAGCAGGCAGTGCCTTCATTAATCATCGTCTCGTTTGTAGAAGGACAGAGATATGGTGTTTGTGTTATTTTAAAAACTTTGTTTTTACGTTTCTCTGTCTTGTGTGGTGTTTGCGAAAGTTCTTTTGTTTACCAAATAGGTTTCTGGGGTAAACGAAAGCTATTTTTGACAGTTTTTTCCTCGTTGCTCTAGCTCGCAGTTGAAAGTATTGAGTACGTAGTAGCTTGGAAATCTGCGCTGACATCTTTGAGTCTTTTGATTTCCGATTCTCAGTGAATGCAGAGTTTAAACTTGTGTTGCGTTTGACGTGTTGGTTACATTAATTTGATTTTTATCATATTTTATTAACAGTAAATTGCCTCTACTGAATTAGAGTCGGAAAGACAAAATATAACAGATATCTTTTGTTTTTATTTCTTAGAATATTATTCTTATTAACCATGTGAATGAAAAGGGAATGTTACGCTGGTTTGGACATGTAGAAAGGTTGGATGAAAGTAGAGTAACGAAAGAAGTATACAAAGCGGATATGAATGGGGCTGTCTGTAGAGGGCGTCCTAGACGGACATATACTAACCAGATTGGCGATATATTAAAGAAGGGCCAAATTAAAAGTACCCCTTAACCGACGAGCATGCATGAAAAGATTGATGACTGTTGATGAAGCGAAAGAGGTATGTAGGAATCGTAGCAATTGGCGCTCCATAGTCTCTGCCTATCCCCATGAGAGACAGGCGTGAAGTTGTATGTATGTTCTTATTAACCTGGATGATTGAGAAGTGATATGAAAACAGATGGTGGCGAGTTGTAATGACGTATGATAGAAAACAATAAATGATAAAGATTTAGATATTGCACAGATTTAAAGTGAGTTGGGATAAGGGGATTTTCTTTATAATATTATTATTTAGGGCAATCGCTAAGTAATAATAAGTCCTAATAACGGTCAACCTTGTGTGAATACGGTCAAGTTATGTTTAACTAGATTTATCAATGTCAAAAAACATTATGATAAACAAACTATATTAATAAATGTCTATCTACATTTATATCTTTACTGAGTTTGTAATTATATTTAATTACTTGTGTATACGTAATTAGTTACATAAATAAATCTTCACTGTCACTGGTGTCCATCAAGTTTTGAAGTTAAATGGATAGGTAGATATTTTGTGTCAGAAGTAAACGTGTCGTAAAATATTGATATTTTAATAGATATCCGAACATCAAACTGAGCTGTTTTTCTGACTTGACTAAATTGACTAAACTGATTTTCTAGTAAAGATAAAAGAGTTTTTGGTACATTTATAAAAGTAATTACCATATTACCATACCTTTTTTTTAAGTGGGGAACATCATCGAATGACTGCTTACGCCTGGGTGAGGCGGGAGGGAGTGTCAGACTCTTACTGACTAAAAACCACCCCGTTCCTTCTCCTGCACGTCGAGCCGGAGCCCCGGTTACCCGTTAGGTTCTCCGCGACATTACCATACCATACGAACTTCATAGTTGTGTCGTAAGTTTTTTGTGTCAAACTAGCGATCCGCCCCAGCTTCGCACGGGTGCATGTATTAATTTTCATATAAACCTTCCTTAAGGATCACTCTATCTATTAGAAAAAAAACAGCATCAAAATCCGTTGCGTAGTTTTAAAGATCTAAGTATACATAGGAACAGACATACGGCGGATAACATACTTTATTTCATTTAAATTCAATAAAAAATATACTAATTGAGCTTCAAACGTAATCAAGTAATGAGAATATCGTTAATTTTATACAATCTTATAGATTAAACAATCTATTAATATTTATATATTATTTAGAATTAATATTTATACAATCCTTACTAATATTATAAATCGGAAAGTGAGTTTGTTTATTTGTTTGTTTGTTCCGATTTCACGCGGTAACTACTAAACCGATTGCTTTGAATTTTTGCAGACGTAAAGTTAGAAGTCTGGATTAAATAATAGGGTACTTTTTATCCCGGAAAAATTGATATTCCCGAGGGAAAACAAAAGTATTGGTATAGAGGGCGCTGTATGTATTGGTATATGTCACATAGGCTACTTTTTATCCTTTTGTCACGCGAGCGAAGCCGCGGGTAAAAGCTAGTCTTAGAATAATGGTAACAGAATATTTTTTCGTCTGTATCATCATTCCTATTACAGAAGTCTTCAGAATCGTTATGGTAGGATGTTTAAGCTTTTAACTGCCAATAGAAAATTGTTGAAGGCAAATTCTCCGCTAACATCGGTCACCGGTGACCCCCGCAGCGTTTAATGTGTTAAGGACAAATTATGATTCAATACTTCAACATGCAAAGACACAATTGGCTATCTGTCCATATACATTTGCACTTTCGTTGTCACATCACGTGCCCAGCAAATTCGGTTCTGACTGCTTGTTGAATGTTTGCTTGACACAAAATAGGCGTGTTGATTTCTGTGTGGGGGCAAAATGAAGCTTATGGTTTCTCTAAGCTGTCTCTAACCATGATTCGGAGTCGCGGTGAACCTAACGGGTTACCGGGGCTCCGGCTCGACGTACAGGAGAAGGAACGGGGTGGTTTTTAGTCAGTAAGAGTCTGACACTCCCTCCCGCCTCACCCAGGCGGGGGCAGTCATTCGATGATTTTTACCAAAACATTCTCCCTCTCTCTTCCACATTTACCTCTGCTCCTCCGCATTGCTTACCATAAGGTGATCTATTAGTAAGTGTACCTGATATCCCATAAAAAAATTTGATTGAGATCGGTTGATACATTTTAATTGTTAAACGCTTCTCTGAGCGACCAGGTAATAGGTATGTTTTAATAAAATTGAGGAAAATTTGTTTGTTAACGATTGTTTACCGTCCCTTCTATTTACACTTACAAGTGTGTTGGCTATAAGTATTTTATTAATAACATTTACTACGTCATAGATATGACATTACTAATTCGTGATCATATCACTAGTCTAATTATCGTACCATTAAGCCCTTTAAATAGTTTTACGAAATGGTATTATCAGTAAGTACTTTAGACATTATTGTACATTAATTTCTGTTAGTCATTATTGTAAATTGAGTATATGTTTTAATAAGTCACATGCAGAACCGTGGTTGCTATTGTATGAGCGGTGTCGCTTGTGTGCCACTGTTAATTTCTTGACGTACATTTTTGTGTAATTAATGAAGAAAAATGAAATGTGTGATCCTTTGCCTGTGTGTGTTACTGTGTGGGATTACGAGGTATTTATAATTATTTGATTATTTTTATCAATTTTTTTTTATAGAGTTGTAGTTTGTGTTGTTGCTGTCGGTTTTTATTTACCGGTCTAGTGTTTGTTTATGTTTTTTCTTGTATCGATAATTTTAAATTGCTAAAACGTGTATCTGTGTGTGCTTCTGTCCTGCGTATAGGCTTGTGACTGATTTTTAGCAACCTGATTAATTCCTACGATACCATATCATACAACATACTTAACCTACTAAAACTTTATAATGTGTATAGTTAATATGTTAGGTACAAATAAAATTTGAAAAGAAAAATAACGCCTTTATGTTGAAATACCCAAACGCAACTGAATTTTAAACCGCGCTTATTTGTATATCCCCAAGCGGTCACCAGTGACCGCTCTCCGCTAACTACATTATAGACCTTATTTCCAATGTTTAAAGACTACTTTTGTATGAACAAATTTAGGGGATGATTTTCAACAATGTTCAAAGGGTTAAGTATGCTTCTGTCACTATAAATTTTTTGTTACATTATAGAGATGACACGATAACACTACATAGTATAAAACAAAGTCACTATCCGCCGTCTGTCTGTCCCTATGTATGCTTAGATCTTTAAAACACGTAACGGATTTTGATGCGGTTTTTTTAATAGATAGAGTGATTCTTAAAGGAAGGTTTATATGTAGAATACATGCATATTGCACCCGTGCGAAGCCGGGGCGAGTGGCTATTTTAAGTATAACTTAAAATTTAGTAGACTTTCAGTATTTAGGCGTTAGTCCAGTGCGTTTGCCTATATAATATTCTTATGAAATTATGTCATAATGTTATGAGTTACGTAATCACAATATAAGGAAAGGAAAAAAATTACTACCTATATTGTTATGTCAAATTATGTATTACTAATTTTAAACTGCTACTTAATTACGTATAATGTTACGTTATATTATTTAAAATAATACTATTTTTAAGTACCTAAGGCTCTAGACAGACGAACCACATCTCAACCGCAAATTGCAGTTCGGATGTATTTTGAATGCAATCGTGTCACGACTGCAATTCTACTGCAAATCAAACGTGCAGTCCATGCAGTTCTATTGCAGTCATGACCAACGGGTACAAACCAAACGAGCAGTCCGATTGCAGTTCTATTGCAGTCATGACCAACGGTTGCAAACCAAACGAGCAGTCCGATTGCAGTTCTATTGCAGTCATGACCAACGGTTGCAAACCAAATGAGCAGTCCGATGACAGTTCTATTGCAGTCATGACCAACGGTTGCAAACCAAACGAGCAGTCCGATTGCAGTTCTATTGCAGTCGTGTCAACTCCGTCCAAATTGAACCTGAACTGCAATTTGCACTTGGATTGCAGTTCTATATTTTTTTAATCTCCTTATTTCCCTGCAATCTGACCAGTTGGGCATTTAGCTGGTGGTTAAAAGGTTCATGTATTGTGTCATGTTCGGAGAACACCCAGTGGTGTACCTGTCTTCAATTATTGCATCCCTCGAGTTGGGTAAAATGCAGTTCAAATGCGGTTCGTCTGTTTAGAACCTAAAACAGTCTGGACTAATGTCTTTGATTACGTCAACGAGTACGTCAACGGTAATGTATGTTGTACCTTCTTTGCTTCGACTCTTTCCGTCCTGACACCCATTGTGAAATGATTTTAATTGTAAATTATAATACATTAGTATAGTACACTCATGTTAAACAATCTATTATGTGTTAAACGTATTGTACTGCAGTGGTCAACCATTAAGGATATGTTTCGACGTTTGAAATATGAAACTAATCTGATTTTTGTCGCTTAAGAAATGAATTATTTTATGCATTAGGTATTGTTGCTATTATACCAACTGCCTAAAAGTGGCCACTGCTGAGCCAAGCCTCTTCTTACACTAAGAAGGTTTGGGCATTAATCACCACGCTTGCTCATTGCTGGTTGGCCATTTCAAATTTATAATTAGAAATTATAAGCCCAGGTTTCCTCACTATGTTTTCCTTCACAGTTTGTCAGTAGTTACTACTAATTTGTTGTTATTACTATAAGGTTTTATTGAATTGCGATGAAATTTAATCATTTGCTTGCTTCTTATAAATTTTATAAATGACACGAATTTTATAATTTATTCAAAGGTTGAAGAGAGAAATTGCTTTTCGCGCGCTTTATTTATATACTTAATGTCAGACAGCAATCCATATTTTCTAAACACGTTAGTTACAATTTTAGCGTTTAGCATAGTTAAGACATGTCATGTCATATTAATATTATAAGCCATATACAACATACCAGCCTATTTATTACAATAATTTGATAATACATACGGTTTCAGGACGGGAAATATCAAGGTAAAGTATAGTCTAACTTAAGTGCATAAACGTTGACTATTCATCGGTATATTGGTAATTCCAGACTGTTGTAATAAAATTCCATTCACGTAATAGTGTGGTTATTTTTTTCCCACCCAGTGCTATTCAATAGATGGTGTTAGTGAAGCGTTTGGTCTTGTTCGTCCTAACATAATAGCTGTCAAAATATAAACGTATGTAGTGGCTTTATAGTGTTAAATAATAAAAACAAAAAGCAAAAACAACGATAAGTTGCTACACGTAAAATACTGAAATTCAACATTCAATCAAATTTGATTAAAACTCAGAGCTAAACATAAAAAATATTGGTAAATAAGGACCAGAAGAAAGAGTGAGAGAAAGCGGCCAGACTCCCTTATTTCCTACTTCCATACCTGGTGGCAAATTCTAGTATATGTCCGTCTCTAACCGAAGAGTGAAAGGACTGTTTGAGTATCTGATAGAATTTTTATTGTAAAGTATTTAGGAATTTTTATCACGAAACTTTAATCAACCCCATCATGTGTGACTGAAGATACAAACAAAGAAACTCTCTCAATTTCCAAACTAGCAATAAATAACTTCATTTCTTATTCCATATTTCCTGGAAATGATAAACCACACAATTTACATAAATTAAGTAGGTACGTTAATAATAACGTCTTTAAAAATTAAAGGATAAAGATAAAAATAGGTGTTGATTAACGATGCTGTCATACGTTCACGATGATATGGTAGCTAAAGTCATTAACTGATTCAACATTATTTGTTTGTGTTTACACGACAATTCTTGATAATCTTGATCAACAAAACAGTTTATTTATTTTGTTATCGACATTAAAGAATGTTTAAACAATGACTAATTTTCTTTGTGCGACAGGACTAAAGGCGGGCAGTGCACTAGTGAATGTGATGCTTCTGATATTGCCGGTGTCTATACTGGTACAGCAGTACCAGTGTTGCATGCATCATTGTATAAATTGATGGCATCAAGTGATGCATTTACTTGATTATTCCATAAAATGTTTATGATTTAATGAGTTTAATAAGTAATTTTAGTACTGTGTTGGCATGTTTCTACTCTCTGTTGGTAATCGTGGAAACCTGTAATTGGCTTCTTGGTGCATACCACATTCTATTTAATTAAATTGTATAGCTGTTGGTTTTCTAAATGTATAAATAAATAAATAAATAATTATGTGTGTCTGAACAATATATTAAGATTCTTTGTATTCATGTCCTGTAGTTGTATCAGGACTGCAATTGAATTGCAAACCAAATGTGCAGTCCGATTTCAGTTCTATTGCAGTCATGACCAAATGGTTGCAAACCAAACGAGTAGTGTTGCCCAAATTCAGTCTTGGTCTTGCAGTCTTGGTCTTGTTCTTGCGTTTTTGCAAGACCAAGACCAAGAACAAGACCGCGTATTTTTAGCAAGACCAAGACCAAGACTGACCGTGCAAGACTTGAGCAAGAACAAGACATAGCCTGCAAGACTCTTGCGTCTTGCGGCTAGGACTTAGCGCTATTGCACTGAGTAGTTAGGTGTAACAGTTCGGTGTATAGGTAGGTACGCTTAGGAATTCTATGAGACGCAAAAAACTGTATCGAAGAATATGAAAAACTGGACCTATGCGCATTACGACTAATACCATAAACATAGCGAATAAAAAAATATCTATTAAAATCAAACTGAGTGCATGCATAGTTATGTTTTAACCATCGGCACTTTGATAATGCGGCATCAAAGGTTTTGTACTTACTTCTCAAAGAAATTTGCCGCTTTTCGGAAGTACATGGTTTTATGATACACGCGCCGGCGGCTTCTTTTGAAATCTAAAACAATCGTTGCCGCCACGCCGAAATCATAACATTTGACACTATTTGATTGCCGCCATAGGGCGTAGGTATACTCATGCAAAATAATTTCGAATTTTAAGAGTACCTACAGGTGTTCCAAAGAATAAATAAGTTTCAGAGTGCTTAGAATGAAAATGAATACATTATAGATCACGCAAGTAGTATTATGATTAGGATAAAATGGTAAGGAGAGGTAGTAGATGTCATATTAATTCATTCTAGTAAGTATACAATGTGGCACGGACTTAAACAATAAATGAACTATAATGTAGGATTATTACACAGAAGTATAACGCGACCAAAGATTTAGACGAAAACCTTAAATTAAAAAAGGTAAATTTTCAAACAAAACAAATAATAAAATAGATTCAAGAAAGTATAACACTCTGTGTAACAACGTACCTTGACCTCAGAAGAGCGGCAACGTCGCATACGTTATGGAAGGCACGGGTGACGCGGCTTGGTACTACTTGGTAGTAACACTGCAGTGACGGGGCTCATTCACTCTTTGAACTCGTGAACCATTGGACGATAACGGAACGTACGCTCTGCTTGCCTAAGACTGCAGGTTGGGTTATTGCGGAAATAGGCTAAAACCCTTTGTTCCAAGATCGATGAAGTTTGCCGACCAGCAAAGCTCCATCATGGGTATTGGGCACTATGGGCAAATTTTCTCTAAGCCTTTGTACAAACATCAGTCGAACAGTGACGAGATGCTCCGTACCTCCCCCGATAAGTTCGCAGAGCCGACGCTAACGATGACATTCACCATGTAATAATATCGCGGCATTTCGG